TACCTATATATATATATATATATATATATATAAAAATCTAAAAAAATATAAATTTTTAAATCTTTAAAATAAATTATTTTAACCTTTATTTAAACTTCAGATCTTCTAACGTAATCTACTCTCCAATTTTAAAATGTATGTTTGTTCATATTCATGACCTCGGTCGTCATCAAAGTTATCTACTTATTAAAATTTTAGATCTAAAATCCATCTCTAAAATCGATCTTAATAATGAAATCACCAAAATTCGTTTAAAAAGACTCACCTCAAGATAAGGTAAAAAGGAAAACCCTTGTCATGTTGGTTAGGTCATGAGCTCGTATTTCATGGGTGCCGCCGCAAGCCCTGCCCCATTTCACACACCACATAGGCATGGGTGGAGCTTAGTCTTGTTTCAAATTCAAAAGACTAGTCGGTACCGAGACCTATCTATCCATGACTTCTCTAATCTCCCCGAAAATTAGGATTAGTTACTAAAAATAGAAAGAAAAAGTTTATATAAGGTGTCAACTTTATACTGTATGAGTAAGCTGCACTTAAAAAACCCACTAGAGGAAGTTATTCTTATGTTGGAAAACCCTCAAATCGATCATTTCAACCTCGAGATTCATAGACGAAATAAAAAAGGGATTCCTAAACCTAAAAATAGGTCATCTTCTAACACATTATCTAGACCATCCATTTTCAAATGTTTATGAATTTGCTTGATCATCACCATTTCTGGAACTTGAAATTTCATAATTGGGGGCAACAATAGATTTTCATATCATTGCAAGGCTTTGCGGTACCGAAATTACATTTTCAGCATAGTTTTGAGGTCCACCTTACTTTAATAGTATAAGGTTGATACCTTATACAAACCTCACCCAAAATAAAAATATACTCATTTGGAATAGATTCCAGGCAAAGGGCAATAGGTGCTACAATATGACATCTTGTATTTAATTCATGTCATGAGTAACGAAATTTATCCTTGATTTACCAAAAAAAAAGAAAAAAAGATGAGTATAGCAAAAACTTAGATCGTCATCATTATCAAAGCCTCTTCTCAAGTAATTGGGATCGACTACACGAATCACGGTCCGTCATTTTGCTCTATTAAGGGTCATACCCTTAGTGAGGTCATTAGTCCCCATAATTTTTCTCACTACTTCTAAGCATATCCTTTTGGACCTATCTTTTTTTAGCCTTGCACTTGAACTAACTCGTACCTTCTAATAAGTGTTGTACTAGGTCTGCGTTACACATGGCTAGCCCATCTAAGTCTATTCTTTTTCATCTTATCGCTAATTTGTACCACACCTAAATTTTTTCAAATATATTCATTATAGCAAAAACTTGGATGCTATCCTTTTTTTTGTTACACATAATACAATTAACACTATTAATCACCAATCACCATTTATGCGAGGGTTACTCGAGAAAGGGAAAATATATCATATTTGACTAAAAAAAGGAGAGCTCATAACTAAACAAACATCCACCGTCCATGTTTATCCAAAAGACACGAGGTGTTGATCAGCTGCTAGGACAATTATTTTGGCTAAACCGATGGATGTTAGCTAAGAGTACCCAAATACTATATTCATATATGGTATTGGGTCCCAACATAAAAACAAACTTTCTTATTAAATATGTAGAGTACAAGTGATGGGTCTTCATGACTATGCTAACATTCAGTTTTCCTATAGGTTGGTAGCATTTGATCTACCCTTCAATGTGAAGCGGAACGGTTTGGATATCTAGTTTCGCAAACCAATAATGCCCACTCCTTCAACTTGTTCCAAAAAGATGGAATTACGTGTAATAAGTTTTTGATATTAAGCAACTTCTAATAAAAAATAATCATAGAAATCTCTCAAGGATGGACGGTTTTGGAAAAAGTCCTCGACCGGTGAATCAGACGGTCGGTCTGTGTCTTTCTATGACCCCCAAGACAAAGCAGGACGGATAGGCAGAGCAAGAGCTCTTTTACCCTACATAATAGGATTATATGAAGGAAGGGTAATTTATACCTAATACCTAACTAATTCTACGAGTTGTTCTCGATAGTTCACTCATGATAGTGCTAATTGATGAGAGTTACTTCAGTTAGTACTATCATGAGGGAACTATCATGAGTGAGCTATCATGAGAGCAATTTGTGCAAATTTTGGTCATTTTCTCAATTTCAATAGAATGCAACTGGATCTAGTATGAACGGGCGATCAAACGTATATGGATAGAACTTATAACAAGTTATCGAAAAACTAGTAATTTATGTGGGGAATGTATACTTTTTTTTAGGTTCACTAGTTCTTATTAGTTCTTATTAGATGGAACTTCCAATAAAAAAAAGGTAACGTTTACGTGTTTTTTTTGTTGTTGTTGTTGACAAATACATTAGGTGCCATCCCTATATTGCATAAATAAGGCACAACTCTCAATTTTGACTTGAGTTGAGATGTAGTTCTTGAATGAAAACTTTATAATGCTTAGGAATCTATTTTCATCCCTAGATATAAAATTTAAAAGTCTAAAAATGATGAAAAAATCAAGTAGATGTATAAATGCTAAAAAAATATTGAAAATAAGTAGTCATATATAACTTAAACACATTATTTTTAGAACTTGAAATTCTTTTTTTCTTCATACTCATACATTTGGATGATGTTCAGATGAATTCGAGGATTTCCAACATAAAAATTTTTATTTTTTAATAAAATATTGAAAATCTTTCTTCTAAGCGATTTTCGAGAGACACCTTACTTTTAGTGTTTTTTTTTTGGGTAAACACTAGAGTAGTAGTAGGCTGACACCTTATACAAACTTTCTCGAACTATAATAACTAATAATAATAATAACATTAAAAAAACTAATATATATATATATATTTTGAAGCGAAAAAAAAAAAATCCGATGTTGACATATCTCAGCCGTAGATTGCGCAAATAAGAGCACTAAGTCAACTAACTGTTGGAACTCACGTGTTAGCGAACATCTCTTTCCCACACAGTTTCCCGTTTCGTACCTCGTAAATCTTTTTCTAACATCTCAGAAAAAAAAAGAAGCCACATTTATGTCGTGAGCACTGTACTATGGTCATGTGGGAGCATACAATGCGTCTACTCCCCCGCGTAAAACACCTTTATTATTTTAGGGCACATATGTTCCACGTTAAAATATTTCTCGTCCTTCACGTTGTTAAGTGTAAAAATATTTTCGCACAAATTGATCGTAGTGCATATTCACTCTAATTGGCAATTAATTGGTATGAAAATATTTCCACACTTATAACCAATCACACTAATGGGTCATTAATTGGTACAAAAATATTCCCACAATTAACCATATAAAAGATATTTTTCATCGTAAAAATATTTTTCGAGAAATATTCCATGCAAACCAAACCTCCCCTTCGTTTAAAATTTAAGGAACCACAAACACAAGAACTACTAGGTGATTATTATTCAAATAAAAAAATTAAAATTTTAATTGTAAAATTTAGATCTAGCTCTTAAAAAATTAATTAGTCTCTATCCAATCTTGAAATACTAATTTTTCCAATATATAGAGAATTTATTTGGGAAGCTTTTTATTGAGACTAGCTTATGTGAGGTAGACATTGCATAAAGATATTCTTTTTTTTCCAGTAGATAGAGAGTTTATTTCGAAAACTTTCGATTGAGATCAGCTCATGTGGTGTAGCTATTGCATCCCCTAAAATATGAGTAACTAAAAAGCAAGGATAACGAGGGTTATAGTCGAGGGAGGGAGTAAATGGATAGTATAGTAGTACAGGAATAGAGAGTAGTTTGGCTTATGTCATCACAAAGCGCGTTTATACGCTGGATGAGCATAATTCTAGAACCAACCCGGAAAACGGTCAAAGCCCATCCCATTCCCAAAGACAAAGACATGTCCAAACAACGCAACACAACACATCCCCCACCCACGCGGTGCGGCGCTTACGCGCCCACCGCCCACTCTCTCTCTCTCTCTCTCCTTGAAACGCCCGCTCTCTCAGTCTTCCCTTAACCCCCCCCCCCACCTTCACACTCTCTCACTCATCACTCCTCTCTCTCTCTCTACCCTTCCAACTCTCTCTCTCTAAAAAGCTCCGCCTCCGCCTCCGCCTTTCCTTTCACAACATCATTTTCTCTTTCTCTCTCTACACCATCTCCCCTCCCCGTTCACACACTGTCTCTCTCTCTCTGTCTACTTCCATGATGCGCCCCACCTCAGTGGCAGCTCCCCTCCAAATGTCGGACCCCCCCTTCCCTCCTCCCCACTCGTCGAAGCGACCGCCTCCCTCCTCCTCCTCCTCCTCTCTAAAAGACCCCACAACCCTCGCCCACCTCCTCTCAGCTCTCATCTCCCTCGACCACTCCGTCTCTTCTTCGCCCCCTCTCCTTCCTCCTCCCAATTCCTCCTCTGCCTCCCTTTCGATGCTCAAGGAAATTGAGACGGAAGCCAATGAGGCTGAAGCGGAATTTTCCAGCTCCTCGAAGCGTTCTCGCCTCACTGCTGCTGCTGGTGCTGCCATCGCGGCCACCGCTGCCACTGCCCAAGGCACTGCACCGCGGCGTCTCTGGGTAAAAGCCCGGTCCCGTGCGTGGTGGGACGAGTGCAACAGCTTGGATTTCCCTGAAATGGACTTTAAAGCCGCATTCCGGATGGGGAGGGCGACCTTTGAGATGCTGTGCGGGGAGCTTAGTTCCGTGGTCGCAAAGGAGGACACGACGCTGCGCGCAGCGGTGCCTGTTCCCCAGCGTGTTGCTGTGTGTGTATGGCGGCTCGCGACGGGGGAGCCCCTCCGCCTTGTCTCGAAGAGGTTCGGACTGGGGATATCGACATGCCACAAGCTCGTGCTCGAGGTGTGCTCCGCCATATGGGAGGTGCTGCGCCCAAAATACATCTCCTGGCCCTCCGACCCCTCGCAGACCAAAAATGCATTCGAGTTGCTCTCCGGGATACCAGACGTCGTCGGGACCCTGTACACAACTCACGTTCCCATCATCGCCCCGAAGACGAATGTCGCCGCCTACTTCAACAAGCGGCACACCGAGCGCAACCAGAAGACGTCGTATTCGATCACATTACAAGGAGTCATCGACCCCAATGGCATCTTCACTGATGTCTGCATAGGGTGGCCTGGTTCGATGACCGACGGGGTGGTGCTCGAGAAGAGCGTTCTGTACCAGAGAGGAGAATCAGGGCAGTTGCAGAGGTCGTGGGTCATCGGCGGCACCAGCTATCCTCTCATGGACTGGCTCTTGGTGCCTTACTCTCAGCACCACCTGACATGGACGCAGCACGCCTTCAACGAGAAGGTCTCAGCGCTGCAAGAGGTGGCGAAGAAGGGGTTCGGAAGGCTGAAGGGGCGGTGGGCGTGCCTGCAGAAGAGGACCGAGGTGAAGTTGCAGGATTTGCCTATGGTCTTGGGAGCCTGTTGTGTCCTGCACAATCTGTGCGAGTCGACGGGGGAGGAGCTCGAGCCCCGGCTCGAGTTCGACGTAGTCGACGACGAGGTTTTGCCCGAGACTCACGTCAGGTCGGCTCAGGCGATGCAGGCCCGAGATGGGATTGCCCACAATCTGCTGCACCATGCTCATGCTGGTACTGCCTTCCTATGATCCCAACCCCAATACAGACCATGGCTGGATCTGTTTCTGCAAATTGTTGTTCATTTGGTGTAGAATCTTGCACATATATATGAACATCAATTGGGTTAATTTGATTTTTTGAGAAAGTGGGATTATATACGATTGGACTTTTGATCTGTTCTTATTGATGATTTGGAGGAGAATTGTACGTCTGTCAGAGGAACAAATTTCGATTGGTTCGAGAAATTGGAAATCGATCTGCAGAAAACCCAATTTGCTTGAAATTGGTTCGAGAATTGGAGATCTGTCTGCAGAAAACCCAATTCGGAGTTGCACCATTAGAGATGCAGCGAAACCGGTTCAATTTGTTTGCTGTCAAAGTATCAGAATTCTTCAACTACTTGTTTAATAAAATTGGGATATTGGGATTTGATCTATTTGGTTTGAAGGAGTATTGCAAACAAGAATTATCAGTAAAGACCAGGTGGGAATTGAATTGTTTGAGACATTGGGCTACGATTTGATCATTTCTAGAATTCGATTTCTCTCCGAGAAATTATGCGCACCTGATTTGGGCCACACTGTTCAAGAATTGGGAAAATGGGTCTCTGCCTTCTGCGAACCTTGATTGCTATGGGCAGTTGAAATCTATGGAGAAAGCCAACTAGGAATCTGAGATTTTTTAATGGCTCCGGGATTTGGGCTTCTCTCTGAAAAACCATTCAAGATTTATGAAAAAAATTGTAGCAAAGTTTTACGCCTCCTTACCTTACACAACCCTCCTCTTTTATTCGGGCTTGGGGCTTGCGATCAGTATGACCTGCGATGTCATGGTGGAGTTTTAAACTGGGTTGTTGTAATATCAAGCTCTTCAAATATCATATTTAGAAGAATTTGAACTTCTATTGCTTCTGTTTTATTCAACTAATGTTTGAGCTGCATATCATCATCGTCAGAATCTTTTCCATTGGAGTCGACTAGATTGAGCATGTATATGTGAAATTAAAATAGGAAACTAACTACTGTCCTTTCCACATTGAATCCATGAATCATCCGAAAAAGATCCTCAAACAAGCTAGATTGGACTTCTTTTTTTAAATGAAAAACCGAGTTGATAATAATAAAAAGACATTTAAATAGGAAGAAGCCAAGAGCCTAGCCATTTTGATTTCAGCCCTTCGAATGATGGGTTCGGGTTTCTTTAATTTCTTTTGGGGAAGAAAAGGTTCAGCTTAGCTTAATTATGTTTTTGCTCAAGAATTGGATTGGTTGAGATTCATCTGCACCAAATGGGTTTTCTAGTCCTTCACTTAGCGGTTTGGGCTCATCATTTGAACCATGTTTCGTTTATATTGATTCGACTGGGATATTGATTTATGATAACCATGATTCCTCTCCTTCACCTGAAACTTCTCTCAATGTCACACCCTTATAAGTGAAACTTCAATATATTTGAAATGGATTATATAACAACATAATCATTGGTTTTCATAAGTAAACCATTGAAGATACGGTGAGGTTTGTACAAGGTGCCTACCTTATATTATACAAGCAAGGCATACCTCTAAATTTTATCGGAAGATGTGGTTCCGGTATTAGAAATTCTTACATTGGCTTGAAAATCTATGTTTAATCCTAAATATGAAATTTAAAATTTCAAAAACAGTACAGATCGAATAAATTTATAAACACTTGAAAATCTTGAAAATACATGATTCAAATAACTTGTTAAAAAATGCAGTAGTCATAAGATTTGAATTTTATTTTATTTTTTTCTTTATGTCCATACATCTTAAGGTTGAGATGATCAATTGAAAAGTTTTCCATCTTCAAGACACTCTCTTCGCTAGATTTTTTTAGGTGCCCTTACTTCTATAGTATCAGACTGCAACGTCATATAAACTTTTTCTTTGAAGAAAATACATGTGCCTCCTTTCCTTTTTTTTTTTTTTTATCAAAAGACAAACGAAAAAGAAGAGAAGCACAAATGCATGTGAAAGACCATGGGTACTCATTAACATTAATCTTTACTCCTTATGTTAATGAAGGTTTTTCTATTTTCAGAAAAGTATACAGTAAGTTTATTTATATTGGGTGTGGTTTGTACAAGGCATCAACCCTAAACAATCTAAAAGTAAGGCAGGCCTTTAAAATATGCCAGAAGATATAGTTCTAGTACCGGAAACTCGTGTGATGGCCTAAAATTTTGTTTCATCCCGGATCATAAAATCTCGAGCTCTAAAAATAATTTGAAATGAGTAGACATGTAAATATTTGAAAATCTGAACAATAGACAGTCCCAACAATGCATTACAATATACAATTTTCTTAGAACCTAAAATCATTTTTTCTTATTTCCATACATATTGAAGTTGAAGTTGAGATGATCAAGTAGAGGATTTTGCAGCATCGAAACAATCTTTTTAGTGGGTTTTGCAATGCACCTTACTTCTACAGTACAAAACATCTTATATAAATATTTTCCGTTTACAATTGGTGTAAGATGATCACAATCACACTAAGCCTTTATATGTGAAATCTAGCATTACGAGTATGCTATTTCTTGAATTTTGAGATGCATCCCTTGCCGCCTAATTTTACGACTGAGTGCTAGGAAAGATCGTGACCTTAACTACCGAAAGTAAAGGTTCTCATAGTATATAATCCTTTATATGTTATTACTTGAAGTTGACACACTCATTCATGGTGACAAAAATTATTAAGGGCCTCTACAACTATAATAGTTCATACAGTAAGAAGCGTCATTTAAGATGTTCATAAATCTCATCTCTCTCTCTCTCCTCNNCTTCTCTTCTCTCTCTCTCTCTCTCTACTCTACTACTACTACTACTACTACTACGTACTACTACGTACTACTACGTACGTACTACTACTACT